AGGAAAGTGCTAGGAGATGCACTAGTGGAGAAACTAGGCTCAGCGCAGGGATAAGCAGCTGCGGGGGGAGGCGGGGGAGGGAGAGTGGGAGGGGGAGGAGGGCGAGGAGGGGGTGGGGGAGACGAGAAAGACAAAGGTGGACAAAGGTGATCCTTTCAACACTCCACCACCCTTACTTTGGATTCTCCTGCTAGTTAAAGTCTGAACCCCTCAATTCAGCCTTTTATTCGAAACCTCTGGACTGCCTCTGGGTGCCCCAGGAACTACAGAATGAGTTTGACACTGAGCAGTCCCACCCACACGTGTACAAACTTTAGGCAAAATGCTCCGCCTAACAACGGTCTTATGGAAACCTCACGCCGACTGTGTGAGGTCAGGAAGGAGGAAATTCTCAGTATCTTCCCTTTACAGACTAATAAACTGGAGCCCAGGCAGGATGAGGGACATCCCTCAGGTCATACAGCTAGAAAGTGCTAGCACTGAGAGGACACCCAGATCTTTGCCTTGTTTCCACTTAAGGCGTCTCCCAAGAGGGGAGACAGAGGAGTCTGAAGCTTTTCTGTAAGACCATGGTCCCGGCAGAGGAAAGTGTGCCCCTACTTCTTAGCTGAGATCAAGAGTCCCTGCCCTTCCTTCCCAAGGTGAAAGCAGGCACTCTCAGCTGAATGGAGCCAGCAGTGGTATGGGGGGGCCCTGGCCCTCTGAAGGAGCTCTGCTCAGCTTGGGCTTGAGGAGCGTGAGGGGTCTGCAGGGCGGAGCCTCAGCTTTCACCCCGATGCCTGGTGGGCTGCACAGCTGGGGCATATCTACGACAAGAGCAGCAGAGCAAGGCCTTAGGGGTGTGTTGGGAAGTGAGGAGTATGTGTCTATCCTGCCAACATGATAGGGACCTGGCTTCATCTGGGCTACCACACCTGGCAGGACTGATCCAACCCCAGAAAGGAGGTTGCAAAAAGCAGATTCAGTTGTTGTCTAGCAAATATCATCAGCCTCGGTCCTTGCAATGGTCTTGGCTTCAAAAGCTGTCAAGAAAAGTCTTGTGGGTCCCAGTCACCAAGGCCTGGGCATCAGGATGAGCCAGACCCAGTGCTGTGGGCTTTACCTGAGCTATCTCAGTCCCTCCTCTCAACATTCCTTCGGGTAGTTGGTCCTATTTAAAGATGAGCAAGGGGGAGGGCGCCTGGGTGGCTCAGTTGGTTAAGCGACTGCCTTCGGCTCAGGTCATGATCCTGGAGTCCCGGGATCAAGTCCCGCATCGGCCTTCCTGCTCAGCAGGGAGTCTGCTTCTCCCTCTGACCCTCTTCCCTCTCGTGCTTTCTATCTCTCATTCTCTCTCTCTCTCAAATAAATGAATAAAATCTTTAAAAAAAAAAGAAAGAAAGAAAGATGAGCAAGGGGCACCTGGGTGGCTCAGTCGGTTAAGCGTCCGACTCTTGATTTTGGCTCAGGTTATGATCTCAGGGTCGTGAGATCGAGTCCCACATTGGGCTCCATGCTCAGCATGGAATCTGCATGAGATTCTCTCTCTCCATCTCCCTCTGCCCCAACCTTCGCACTCTCTCTCTCAAATAAATAAAATCTTAAAATAAAATAAAAAAATAAAGATGAGGAAAGTGAGGCTCAGAGGGGTTATGACAGTTGTCCAGTGTCTCACAGCTAGAGAGTAGCAGGTGCTCATCTAGTCAAAGCTCATGTTCCTTCCATTCTCTGGGCGCTGATTAAGACTGTTATGATGGTTACACTTATGTGTCAAACTGACTGGGCCATGGGTACCCGGATATTTGGTCAAAATTATTCTGGGTGTGTCAGTGAGCGCATTTCTGAGTGAAATTAACATTTGAATCAGGTGACTGGGTAAAGCCCATTGCTCTCCCTAATGTGGGTGGTGGGCCTCATCTAATCCACTGGAGACCCAAATAGAACAAAAAGGCTGAATAAGAGGGAACTTGTCCTGCCAGTTGAGCTGAGACATGAGTCTCTTCCAGGCTTTAGATGCAGCCTGAAACACTGACTCTTCTTGGGTTTTGAGCCTGCTGGCTTCAGCTGCAACTTACACCATCAGGCTCTGCTGTTCTCAGGCCTTTAGGCTCAACTTAGAACTAACTATACATCATTCCTGCGTGTCTAGCTTGCTGACTGCAGGTCTTGGGACTTCCTGGCCTCCATAATGAAGCGCGCCAATTCCTTTTTTTTTTTTTAAAGATTTTATTTATTTGACAGAGAAACAAAACGAGAGAGGGAACACAAGCAGAGGGAGTGGGAGAGGGAGAAGCAGGCCTCCTGCCGAGCAGGGAGCCCGATGTGGGGCTCGGTCCCAGCACCCCGGGATCATGATCTGAGCTGAAAGCAGACGCTTAACGACTGAGCCACCCAGGCTCCCCAAAGTGTGCCAATTCCTTATAAATCTCTCTATAGATCTAAATCTAGATGCAGCTGCAGATGCAGATAGGCATCCTATTGGTTCTATTTCTCTGGAGAACCCTGACCAAATACAAAGACCAAACCTTAGGCTTCCCGGAACAAGTTGGCTGCATATTTGGGTATGAAATGCCCAGCTGCCAGAGGCCTGACATCTGAATATCTAGAACAATTGTCTGATTTAGTCCAAAAGTCCCCTTGGTTCCCAAGGCCCCAACAGGAAGCCTGGCAGGGAGGGGCCCTGCCTAGCCAAATGAACAGAGCCAAGTAGCAGAAACCTTGGTTTTCTTTCTTTTTTAACCACAACAACCCCCAAGTACTCAGGAAGGGGTGTGTCAACTCTCTCCAGCACCCCAATGTAAACAGCAATAGTTGCAGAGTCCACTAGATGGGGCCAGTGACCCAGCGGAAAGCGGGGGAAATGCAACTGACTCTAGGAGGGGAGGCCCGCGGGGAGGGGAGAGGAAGGGAGGCCCGCAGGCGGGGAGGGGGTGCACGGGGGCGGTGAGGCCCACAGGCAGGGGGGTGCACGGGGCTGGAATCTTCACCAGGATCCCCAAGTTGGGTAAATGCTCCCCACCCCTAACATGTCTTGTAGCCAATGGTGTAAAAAAATCGATTCTGGGGTTCCCAAGCCCCAAGCCCTTTAGTCAGTTGTCACTGTAGCATCTGTGGATTTCAAAGTCCTCAAACCAAGTTATTCCCTCGTGAGCCACCGAGCAAAACGAGCAGCCACAAAGTGAAAAAAGTCACTGCGCCAAAGCCTCTGCGCTCCAGGCAAGGGGTGGGGTGGGTCTCCCGTTGTGCCTGTTTCACTGGAGAAAGCACCCAACAGGACCTTTCACCAAGGAATCTAAAAACCGACGGACAAGCACTCCAGCAAGGGGGTCATGTGATGAGGGAAGGAACCGAAACAGGGAGAAAGGAGGAAGGCAGAGAGGGAGGAAGAAAAGGGCAAAGGTGCTTTTCTTTCCACCAGCAGCTCTATTCGGCCGCACGTTCTCAACTCTTGGCCCGCATTCCCGGTCCTGGGTTGGGTCCTACAGTGAATCTTCCTGCACCTGCTCATAGTGGGTAACAGCTGAGTCCTCCAGGGGTCCTCTGAGCTCTGGTCAGAGACCCAAAGGCAGAGATGAGAAGCAAGAGTTTTCTCGTTTCCCTGGTTGGCCTTAGTTCAGGTCCCAGAATACTCCCTCCTTCATCAGTAGAAAAACCCTACCCTGCCTGTCCAAGACGGTGGTCTCTCACCTTCCTTAGGGAGGACAGGACAACATCCCAGAATGCCAGCTGGGGGGGAGGTCCTGAACCTCAGCAGTCCCCTCCACCACCCACCTGCCCCCACCATCCGTTTCCAAACTCGAAATGCCTGGCAGCCGCTAAGCTCTGCCTCGGCCTCTGTTGCCATGCAACAATGTGGCTTCCCCCAAGTGGGAAGCTGGTTGCCAAGGCCCTTGTTGCCAAAGGCTATAACAACCACCCCGTGTGCGAAGAGGGGGTGAGAGCTCTGTAGAGGGGCGGAGGGTGGCCGAGGAGGCTGCGAGGGAAAGAAGCAGGGGGTTCTCCAGAAATGCTAGAGTCCAGGCAGCCCTCCTGCTGGAGTGGGGATTGCCGGGCCCTTCAGGAGGGGAACAAGTATCCCAAGGCACCTCAGTGACTGCTCCTCGGGGGTATGAGAGGGAAAAAAGAAGACCCCCAAAACACACTGGGACAAGCCCTCTATTGAGCAGAGCAGGACCAGGCCCTCCAAGCCCCACCCCCACCCCCACACGGAGGAACGGCTTTGATTCTCTCCAACTCCAGAAAAACAGCCCCCAGGAACTCCTCCGTCTCGCTTGCTCCTCTGTCTCAGGTGCTCGCGTACAAGCTGGGCACAGAGGGAGCCGGGCCCTGCGGCCAGAAACAGCATTCATTACAAGGCTTGCAAACCTCCCAGCCTGTCTCAAAGCACATACTTAATATTCCTTATAAAATGCTTCTCTTTGGAGCAGAGCTCCCATCAGTCAACAAGAGGAGAGGGGGACACCATTAGGGCTCACTCCCTTCCAGAGTCACCAGAGGAGGGTAGAATGGGACCCTTGATCTTCGGGGAATGCTGCCGGAGCAGCTCACTCCACCCCGCAGAGAGCACGGAGACCAGCTTTGCTTTGCTGAGCCGGCATCTGGACATCTACAGCCCACGGGTCACGTGTGCAGCCCCTGCCCAGCTCCGGCCCACAGAGAAAAGCCGGTTCCCCCCCAACCCCCACCAGGCCCCATCCTGCTCGAGAGGGGCTGGAAGAGAAAGCTGAGAGAGGAAGTGAGGGTGTCCAGGGAAGCAGATGGCTGGTAGAGGAGGCAGAGACAGGTGCAGGGGTGGCAGAGAGAGCAGCAGGTGGGGAGGGGGTGGGGAGCCTAGTCTGCGAGGGGCCCAGGACCGGAATGAGATGACGAGGCCACCAAGAACATCCAGGTCCACGTTTCCCCAGCGCTGCTCCCCCAGGAGCATCCTAAGCAGAGCCTGGCCCATGACCCTCATGCCTGCCTGCCCCCCTCTCCAAGAACCCCCACTTCTCCAGCCCAGAAGGAAAAGCAGGTGTACCTACCCCAGGTGCCAGCCCCTCGGGTGGGGTGGGGGAGATGCTGTCCCCGCCGCCCTGGCCACGGGCACTGAGCTGGGGTGACATGGTGGGTGACTCGTCGATGTACGGCATGGTCTCCGAGCCCTCTGGGGGCCCCTTCTGCTCCTCATTCCCCTCTCCGTCGTAGTCGTCTGTCCCGTAGCTGAAGTCTGAGACAAGGAACAAGAAAGGCCACTGAGAGTCCTCCACGAGGGCTGCCAGGGACTGGTAGCGCAGTGGGCGCCGGCGACGACCCCCGGCTGCCATGCCCCCCGCCGCCGCATGCGCGGCCTGGCCCGGATGGGGGCTGCGTGGGGGGCCCGGGCCTCGTGAGGGGCTGGGGAGCGCCAGCAGAAACCGTGGCTGCAGCTCAGGGGCTGCTGGGAGTCAGGGGGGAGCGGCTCCACTGTTGTCACCCGCTTAATAGCATGTCAGTCGCGGATTTCGAGCCGCTGTTTCCTTTGCCTCCTGCCTAATTCCAAGTCTAAAAATTCACAGAGAGAGCGGGAGGCAGGACGCTTCCAACTCTCCTCTCTGAGTCACCATTTTGCTTTTTATAGGGAATAAGGAGGTGGGGCGGGCCAAGCGATGTCACTTCCTGAGCCCCTCCTCCTTGGGTACCATTTGTACACTGAGCCGATCCCGGGTGTGGGGGGCAGAGCCCTCACACCTCCGAACAAGGCCCCTGCGCACGATGGAGCCCAGGGCTGGCCGAGTGTGGGCGAGAAGGTGGCCCCGAGGCCTGGCAGGGACATGGTTTAATAGCAGACTCAAAAGCTGGTGCTTGCTTCTGTAATTTCAGTGGAGGCCCCCTTCAGAGGTGAGGGAAGAAAAGGCTGCAGGGAAGTCGAGCTGCCATGAACCCGACCAGGCTGCAGAGCCCACGCACAGATGTCCCTCCCGGGCACAGGGGGCTGGGCCCACGGGGGCACAGCCCCTCAGAAAGGCCCCCTAGCTCCACCAATGGGGGGGGTCTCTCCTGCAGCGGCACGAGCGACCCTCTCACGGCCCCTCACCCGCCGTCTGGGCCTCGTCCCATCATTTGCTCAGATGACATTACTTCCAGGCCGTCCTCCCTGGCGTCTTGGCTCAGAACGACAGCAATGTGGCCTTGTAGTGCCCCTGTTGAACTTACCCAGTCGTCCCTGTGGCCCTGGGGCGGGAACTGGGTGTCTCGGTCATCGCTGTGCGCCCAGAACCCACGTGCGGCAGGATCTCAGGAAACGTGTGCGGAGGGAATGAATGAGCAGAGGAATGCACTGTCCCTCTCAGGTCTCAGGCTTGAGCCAAATTCTCCACGGGGCCCTGGCTCCTCCTGTCACAACATACCAGCCCCTGGGCAGCCAGCAGCCTGAGAACGGTGTCAACAGGTCACCAGGGCGCCTGGCCACAGCTATACTCAGTCCAATCTGGCCCTTTGGCAGCTGAGAGCTTCCCCCAGGCTCGCTGCACCTGCTCCCTCTGACTTTCTCTCCAGTCCCTGTGCTGACGGCCCATTAAGCTGTCACAGGATGTAAGCTATTATTTTCCCCCCCAGAACAGGCATGAATGTGAAGAACCACAGGATCCAGCCACTGAAATGTGTGTATGCCATGCACACGGAGATAGGGCCCGCTGATGGGAGGACCCAGGGCCTATGCATGAGGCTGGCAGGGGGTGAGCCGATTCTGCTATTTCCAGGGGGCAGAAGGAAGGAAGAGAAGCTGCAGCATCCAGTCGGCCCAAGTCTGGCACTGTAAGGGGGCCCGGCTGTCTGGTGAAAAACATAAGAAGGGAATGAAACATCACGTTAACCTGCCATCTCTCCTCCAGGAGGCTCCAGGCTGGCCTGTTAGGGCCTGGAGTCAAGGCCAGGGGTGTGAGCTATGGTGAACCCCAACCTGGCTGAAAGTTCAGATTCCAGCAGGCCATGCTGACTCTCCTGCACACTGACCTATATTCCCAGAGGTTACAGGACCAGATCCGCATAAGCTCCAATTCATCCTCATCAGAGGGGCAGCCATGGGCCTGCATCTCCCACTCCTCTTAACCTAGCTACACCTGTAAGGCTGTTGTTTCCATCCCCAATTTACAGACAAGGTCAGGGAGTCTCAGAAAGGTTTGCCCAGAAAGGATCGGAACCCAGGTCTGTCTGTCTGTCTCCGAATGCCGTCCTTTCCCTTTGAGTTTCTAACTTCCAGAGAAGTCTACTTCCACAGCTCTCCTGGTCAGGGGAGGCTAACCAAAGACAGGAGGGAGGGGTGCCAGCCCAGGAGTGGAGGAAAGTGCACACAGAGCTCTCTGCAAATGTTGTTACATACTTTCTCTTTCATTCCACCCTCTGTAAAACTAACAGCCCAGGAAGTCAGTCAGAGACCCAGGAGAGCCCTTACCAGGAGAAGGGATACAAAGGCTATAGAAAAGACAGAGAAACCAACCCTCGGAGAAGGAAGGAGCCCTGGGGACTCAGGAGGACGGAAATCTACCAAGTACAGGCTTCAGTTTATGAGAGGCCATGGATACAAAGGCTTGGCCTCCAGGTCTCAAAAGAGAGAAGGCAGAGGAGGCTGTTAACAGCCAATATCCGTTTCCCCTCCTAGTAACAGAAATATCATTGTATTTGGAGTGGCAGTGTGCCCAGTGGCTAACTAAAAGACTACTTTCCCTAGTGGTGGGGACCACGTGATTAAGTTCCAGCCAATGAGATGTTAAGTGGATATGTGTGAAACTTTGAGGAAGGCTGCTAAAAACGATTGGTTTAGTTGGAAGGTACGCCACTCCTCGCCCCACCCCCATGTTTTCTCCTTCTATTGCCAGTTTGGAAAGTAGATGGAATGGCTGGAGCTCCAGCAGCCATATTAAGCCATGAGGTGACACTGAGGATTGAAGCCAGTGCTGAAGCTAGCTGAGCAGAAAGCTAGGAGCCTGGGCTGGTGATGGCATGATGAGCTGCCATACCACTCCAGGACTGTCTACCTCCAGACTTCTTTTTTTTTTTTTAAGATTGTATTTATTTATTTCACAGATAGAGCATGAGTGGGGGAGGGGGTGGAGAAGCAGAGGGAGAAGGAGAAGCAGGCTCTCTGCTGAGCAGGGAGCCTGACATGGGCCTCGATCCCATGACCCCGGGATCGTGACCTGAGCCAAAGGTATATGCTTAACAAACTGAGCCAGGTGCCCCCAGACTTCTTTTACATGAGAGAAAAAAAAGTTCATGTGATTTAAGCCACTGTTATTTAGCTTTTATGTTACATGTACTCAAACTTAATTGTAACTGATCCAGATGATTTTCCTTGACATTCTGTCTAGGTGCTTTTCCTACCACCTTCCCTGTTCCTTCTAAGTCTCCTTGGTCTCTAAGTCTCTGCCCACCCCTTGAACATGGGTATTCTTTAAATATCCTTACAATGGAATACTGCTCACCAGGAAAAAGGGACAAACTACTGATACATGCAATAACAGAAATAACTCTTACAGGCATTATGCCAAGTAAAAGAAGTCAGACACCAAGGAGCTTATCCTGTATGGTCCACATACACGAAGTTCTAGAACAGACAAAACTACTCTATGGTTAAAAATAAAAAAGACTGCCTTCAGCTCAGGTCATGATCTCAGGGTCCTGGGATCGAGCCCCGCATCAGGCTCCCTGCTTGGCAGGAAGCCTGCTTCTCCCTTTCCCACTCCCCCTGCTTGTGTTCCCTCTCTCGCTGTCTCTCTGTCAAATAAATAAATAAAATCTTTAAAAAAAAAAATTAAAAAAAAGAAAACAGTGGTTACCTCTGGGGTTGGAATAGAGAGAGTAGCTGATTGTAGGGGGCACAGGGAACTTTCAAGGTGATAGAAATGTTCTATATCTTGGGGGACTCAGTCGGTTAAGCATCTGACTCTTGATTTCGGCTCAGGTCATGATCTCAGAGTCATGGGATCAAGCCCTGCGTCGGGCTGTGTGCTCATCGGGAAGTCTGCTTGAGGGCTCTCTTCCTCTGTCTCTCCCCCTCTTGTGTGTGAACTCTCTCTCTCTCTCTAAAATAAATAAATAAATCTTTAAAAAATGTTCTGTATCTTGAAAGGGATTTGGAGTACATAGGTGGATACATTCATCACCTTTGTGAAATACACTTAAGATTTGTGCATTTCGCTAAACACTGAACTCTATCTAGTTAATGACATTCATGCTTAAGTGTTGAAGTGTACTGCTATCTGAAACACATAAAAAACAAGATGGATTGATGATGCTCAAAGGAATGGAGAGAGGTATGATAAAGCAAGTGTAGAAAACAGAAAACAGGGCGCCTGGGTGGCTCAGTTGGTTAAGCTCAGGTCATGATCCTGGAGTCCCGGGATCGAGTCCCGCATCGGGCTCCCTGCTCAGCGGGGAGTCTGCTTCTCCCTCTGACCCTCTTCCCTCTTGTGCTCTCTGTCTCTCATTCTCTCTCTCTCAAATAAATAGAATCTTTAAAAAACAAAAAGAAAAGAAAACAGAAAACATCCAAAAAGTACAGATAATTATAGGCTCTAGATGGTGGGTACATGGGTGTTCACTGAACAATTCTTTTTTTTTTTTTTCAATTTTAAGTAGGCTCCACGCCCAACTCCATGTCATGAACTCATGAACTCATGACCCTGAGATTAAGAGTCAATTGCTCCACTGACTGAGCCAGCCAGGAGCCCCCCACCGTACAATTCTTTACACTTTTATGTATGTTTGAAAATTTTCATAATAAAATGATGGGGAAAAATTGGCGTTCTCCAAGCTTCTGTCATCCCTGCTTTGCTCCCTCTCCCAAATTTTATTTACATGCCAGGGAGAGGTCTGGGCTGTAGACCCATCTCTTTGATTGGTTTCTGGACATCTCCATCCTCAGGAACCTCGAATCCACCCTTTTCCTGATGGTAACATGCTAGATTGCTCAAGTTGGAAACCTAGGGATCATTCTAGATCCCTCCCTCTTCCTACTCCTCATCTTCTATATCCTGAACTATCTCCACTCCTCAACCACTTCCCCACCCTCACCAGCTCTTACAAAGACAATTCCAACACTACCTCCCCATGACCCAGACTGAAAATCTGATAGTGTTTCTGCCCTGTTCGAAATTCAACAGTTCTCCATTCACTTCAAGGGTAAATCTCAAATGCCCCAGCTCGAGGCCCTTTATGGCCAGCACCTGAATCTACCTTTACAGGCTCATACTCTGCGGCCGAGTAATATCAGACATCTTCCTGGTCGCTGCGGTGGGTTCTATAGTAGCCCTCAAATATACATAAATATTCAAATCTTAACCTCAGTCCCTGTGAATGTGACCTTATTTGGAAAGAGGGTATTTGCAGATGTCATTAAGTTGAAGATCTTGAGATGAGATTTTCTTAGATTAACTGAGTGGGTCCTAAGTCTGATGATGTGTCCTTATGGGAGACAGAAGGAAAGAGGACGCAGATGCACAGAAGTCCATGTGAAGACGGAGACAGAGATTGGGAGTTAGGTTGCCAAAAGCTGAGGAATGCCTGAAGTCACCAGAGATGGGAAGAAGCAAGCAAGAATTCACCCCCTACAATCTCAGCAAGGGGCACTGCCCTGCCA